GATCCTGGCCCACTATTCTGGTTGGCACCATGGTGCATTGGCAAAGTACTCGCTTGCCAAGCGCAGGGCGGCGGTTCGGATCCCCGCCCTGCATCTTTCTTTTGCTTTTTGCCTAATAAAATTTAATATTGTAAAAAAGCTTGTTTTGACTTTTAAGATGCTTGTCAAGCCAACTCTGAAGTTGAAATCGATCAGGAAAACCGAAAACGATAACTGTTCCTTGATTTTGGTGAAAAACACTACCATAATTGCTGTATAACTTGCAAAATAAAAGTTCGCAGCAAATTTGGAAAGCGGATTCGGAATCAGCGAAAAATTCTGCACAAGATGCACTTGGTCTCGAATCGAAACTCCAACTTGAGTAAACCTTTACCCTCGTAACCCTTTACCATCAATTTAGGACTCCCCCTGAAATGCATTAGCACCAAGTTCAGCTAATAAGATTCGAAAGTTTCCCACACAAAACTTGACGAGACACGACATCCGTGGGTATCCATCGTGAGTGGCGCGTTCGCCAAAATTGTAGGTGACATCCAATTCTCGATCGTCACAAGAACGCGTGCATGACGCGAGGTTGCCGCACTGAAAGACCATTGAAGGTTTTTCGGCAAGGCTTCTACAGAAATCCAGTCTGAAGTCTTGAAACCCCCCGGCCACAACTTTTCGGCCATACGTCCTATTAATGCGCGGAGTATCTCAAAATGTTCGCCGAGGCCAAGTGTTTTCTTACATCAAACATTGTTAGAAAAATTGGTATGACAATTATAAGTCTGAGTTTAATTAAGTTTTCCTGATCTATTCCCTTATTACCTTTATTTCCTGGTTCGTATTTCGGCGATCTTTAGTCCTACAGAGCTGTGAATAGTATCAAAAAGTAGCTCTTGCTTTGTAGAATCAGGCTGCAGTACATTTGTATAAAAATAGCGCAAAAAGAAAATAATTCAGTTTTAAACGCATAGTACATTGAGGCATGGCGACTTAATATTTTCACTTTTCAAAATATTGTAAAAAATTTTCTAACAATTTTTGATGTCAGTAAACGGCTTTTCTGTAATAATTCGATCACGGCGACCCATTTGGGATATTCCACGCATTAATAGGACGTATGGCTGAAAAGTTACGGCTGGGGGGGGGGTTTCCTAGACTCTTACCGAAATCCATTTCGGCTTTTCGCTGAGCCATTGCCTTTCAAACAGCACATGGATGACTTGGCACAGGAACGGCGCCCGGCACTGAAACGGGAGGTAGTGGACTCTTAGCAGGCGGATTTGTAGGTTCTTGAGTGTTCGCTGGAGCTCGGAAATTTTTCGATATTTATGGTCGGAACTAAAACGGCACTTAAGCCCACGCATTTTTTGGAGAAACGCGTAAGAAAACTAAGCCCGATTGTTTTCTCGCCTTTTTCAAGGGCTTTCCAATGCATCAAAAACATCTCAACCCGAGATTTCTCCGGACCACTAGATAGGGTTTTTTGCGATGTATAAAAACGGGTGAGAGTGCAGTTGTATTCCCCCCAGCCGACACCCAACTACCGTATCTCGGCTCCCTGTTCATTTACAGGTGTGTAAAGTATACCAAAATACTCACCAGAGAAAGATCAACATTTTGGTATAGCTTACACACCTGTAGATGAACATGGAGCCGAGATACAAAGACTGGGTGCCGGCTGGTCGGGACGTAAACTGAACTCTAACAGGGTTTGGCTAAACTCAAGTTTACCCCCCCCAGGCGAGACAGTAGGCCTGGGGGAGAGGGCGCAGGCGAAGAGATCGTAGGCCTGGGGGAGAGGGCGCAGGCGAAGAGATCGTAGGCCTGGGGGAGAGGGCGCAGAGAAAAGGGGCGTCTGGGGGCGGGGGTAAACTAGAGTCTTACCCAGGGTTTTTTTGGGATTTAGAAAAACGGACATTTTATATTTGATTACTGGCAAACCTTGCCCCATAGGAAAAAGACTTTGAATGAGGAAATTCCTTCTCACTTTATGCAAATTCGCCGCCCCGGTCCCCCCAAAAATGAATGAAAGCGGCCGTGACTTTGTAAACTTGTATTTTATCGAAATTTTGAGAACGTTATCAGAAAGGGGAGGGTTGAATACCTCGGGTGACGGAGAAGCGGCGCGTTTTGGACCCGGGAAAGGCTTCCAATTCCAAAACTGGCATCCACACACAAACCCACAGACACAAAAACACGCCAAAATAAAATAAGATAATTTTGTAAAAATTTTACTTGAGCCGATGCCGGGCGGTAGCCGAAGGCGGTGAAGACGACGAGGAGCAGCAGAGAACGGTAGCCGACCATCGGAAGGCGGGTAGGTTTGATGGAATGATGCTACGCATTTCAGATTCTGTTTTGTAGTCAGATTCAAATGCAAAGGACCGGGACTTTGTTCACGATTTGCAAATTTGCATATTATTCAAATTTTATGATTTAAACACGAAAGCCCTTAAAGGGTTTCCGCTATACTCTGCCATACCCCCAGGGGGTATACCCCCCATGGGGGTACAAAAGGGGTACGAGGTGGGGGTACAGCGGGGGTACGGGGTGGGGTTACAAAGGGGGTACCCCCACCCCCTACCCCCCTTGTAAGTGTATTTTTTGAGGCGCTATCGAGCGGTGCTCAGTAATTTTTAGAAAATGTTGAAAATATCGACAACTAGCGTTCCATCCCATGCTCCTATGGGAAAACCACGTTCCGTTCTTGTTTTTGGTGTTACTATTTTGTATGACATTATTTTGGGATCCCATAAAACTTTTGGTATAGTTTCGACGTGATACCGAATGGCAACGAAAAATCTCGAAAAATCGCGGAAATAGCAAAAATTCAGGGGGCTTCAGTAAAGTAATCTGTAACCCCCCGTTGTCCTTTTGACTTCTTGCAAGTAACACAGCACAAATTTCGGTGTTTTTTTCAGGGATTGACGCCGCTTTTTGTATGCAAATATGCAGAAACTACATACAACAATTTTATGCGCCGTTCCTTGTTTTCCCAGGCAATAAAACCTGAAAATGACAGCTCAAAAAGTACCGCCTAACAACGCGGCGGGTGATCAAAGGGAGGGGGAAAGCCGACGAGACTTTGAACCCTATAAAGCTGTAAGACTAGAGAGGGAGGTATAGAAAGCCATGCTGTTTCTGGTATTCCTTGTAGCTGCGGCTCAGGCGGCCGACGAGTTGATCACGTTCACTGCTTTTCAAGGTGAGAGAGTGAGAGAGTGATAGTCATGGAGAGAGCAAGAGAGAAAGCGAAAGAGGGAGAGATCGAGAGAGCATGACTGAGCGTAAATTTCTGACTCAATTTTCAGAACAGCACGTCCACTTCCCAAATAATGTCGCAGCCATCAACAGCACGGTGACGGTTCATGCTCAAATTCATGCTCAGGCAAAACGGTTATGCCTACATAGCGCAATCACTGTAACCTTTTACTTGAAGGTGGCGCATTAGCTTGGTGTCCAACGACCTGTGGAGGGTGGTGATTGCCCTTGATTCGGTGGTGGAGCAGAATTTGCATTATTACGCTTCTTCGCTTGATGTAGGTAGAGGAAGAGAGAGAGCGAGAGAGAGAGAGAGAGAGAGAGAGAGAGAGAGAGAGAGAGAGAGAGCTAGAAGGAGAAAAAGAGAGCGGGAGATGGATAGAGATACAGAGACAGAGAGACAGAGAGAGTGTGTGTGGGAGAGAGCGAGAGAGACAGAGGGCGTGCGAGAGAGAGAAAGAGAAAGAGAGAGAGAGAGAGAAAGAGAGAGAGAGAGAGAGAGAGATGGAGAGAGACTTCGCAAATCTTTCAGAACACCCGTACCCTGGCCCCAAAATGGATCCTGGGCTCTCCGGTTTATAATCGTCAGCCTTACGGCCCAGGCAAAATCATGGACGTGGCAATGAAGTGGGCACCAGTTTTGACGCTTAGTTTTATGATTCCAGAATTGTCGGTGAGCGCCAGATCCAAGTTTCTTTTGGAAAAGGAGCCGGAGTCCGAGGGCATCTCTACACTCTTCCTGAGGAATTCCCGAATCTCGCCACGCAGAGCCATACCGTTATTGTGAGTACGAGCGGATACAACTTGACAGCCTGTCGGATACTGCTGCGTGTATCAGGAGCTTAGCGTTTACCAGCTTAGCGCTTCTCAAAACATTCGGGGGTTTTTTAAGGGACTAGGATGGGGCCTCATCGACACCTTTCAACCGCTAGGTGCCGAGAGCCACGTTGCACACAAGTTGACGCATTAAAGACCGATTGCTAGCACGTAGGACACGGGGATGAAGCAAGAAGGCACAAGTGGCGTTTCCAAGTTTCGAATTTGTATTTTAGCAGTCTAGACCCAGTCGCTACAACAGTCGATCCTTGCGTTTTCTAGCCACTTTAACGCTCATTCTCACTCATTTTTCAGGTCTCCGGTGATCTCCGTTCGATCAAAATCGGCGGCACGGCCATCGGCAGCAACAACCAATACGGAGGCGCTCGCGATATCAACGAGAATACAGCACCGGAAGTGACAAAGGGCACCCGAGCCCCATATGTCCCAAAGACCGTACCCCCAATCTTGATCCAACCCCATTATGATGCCTTCAATATCATCCCCGAATTGTCGTTCCCCGATTATTTGCTGAGACTTGGGGATATCATCAGTCCCGTTGAGGATGGAGGATATTAGGGAGTGAATGAATGAATAAATAATGCATGTTACAGCCGCTTTCAAAATGTCAAAGTTTTATAGTGTCGAAATACATAGTTTGAACAGTCATAATAATATAAAAAATCACAGTTTCTAGAGTATCACTTCTAAAGTTACTCTCCTCTCTCGCTCGCCCTCTCTCTCTCTCTCTCTCTCTCTCTCTCTGTCTCTCTCTCTCTTTCGCTCGCTCTCTCTCACTTTCTCTCTCTTGCTCTCTCGCTCTCTCTCTCTTTGACTCAACAATTTGCACTCCTCCACCCCTCCAGACCTAATAATATAGTCCCATGACTCTGTCAGGTTTCCCTCCTCCTGGCCCCCTCCTGTTGGCCCCTAATTGGCCACTTCCCCGGGGCCCTCCCCTGTACAGCCCCTTCCCCTCCATTTTGAGAAAATAAGGGCTTCACCACTAGCTGTGGGGCGCGCGTGTGTCGGTTGCTAGGCAAATCGCGTGGATCAATGGGGAAACCGCCCGACCTCTGGCAGTCCCCCCTCTCAAGTCCTATACAACAGATGGTTTCCCAAATACTAGATCTTGGAAATACCGAATTTTAATATTATAAATTGTTGATATGTAATAATGAAAGATATCCTTATTTTATCTACTCCGGCTTCATCAATTTTTTCACATACCTAGAATTTTATTAAAAGGGGGGTTTCCTGGGACTTCGATTTTACGATTAATTTGAAGATTTTTCTTCCGGTTTTTTTCCTCAAATGTCTGTAAAGTCAAATTTAAGGCCAAGGTTTTTTAGAAGCTTACCACATTTATCACCAAATTTACATCAGTGTAAGGATCTTTAGTTAGATTTTTAGAGTTTTTAATGTGAGTCGTCTGGGGAATTTTTTATTTTTCTATTTTTTTCCAAGCCACTTGTTGCATTTTGCTATTTAATTTTTACTAAATATTCTGACAAAATATTGTTGCTCAGATTTCATTGTTTGGTACTGATGCATGTAGCTGGGTTTCCACTTTTTGGCTAGCAGCTGACTATCATTTTACGCCTATTTCTATCCCTTTCAGGATGCGTGAAATCGTGCACATCCAGGCCGGCCAATGCGGCAACCAGATTGGAGCGAAGGTATGACTCTAATTCATTTAAAAAGGTCTTCGAATTTAATCTAAAACTATTTAAATTAATTGGTTTTCAGTTCTGGGAAGTGATCTCCGACGAGCACGGTATCGACCCCAATGGCTCCTACGTCGGCGATTCCGATCTGCAACTCGAACGCATCAACGTCTACTACAATGAGGCGTCGGGTACGTTCTTAAAAATTAAAATATTGTTAGAAAAATAAATAGACGAGGACATCTAACTGATGAGAAGGCCCAATAGATTAAAAACAGCGCTTTCAAAAAATGCTAAAAACGCTAAAATTCGAAATCCCCGTTGCCAAAAAGGACAAAAAGCTGCCATCTTTTTCGCTGTGAACCTTAGATTGAACACTAAAAAGTGCGAAGCAAGTTACGAACTACGAGAATGCGAACTACAAACTATCAATTTAAAAACTACGGCTAAGACTAGAGAATATCGAACAACAAACCACAAACTGCTATTTCAGGCGGAAAATACGTGCCTCGAGCCTGCCTCGTCGACCTCGAGCCGGGCACCATGGATTCGGTCAGGGCCGGGCCGTTCGGCCAACTCTTCCGCCCCGACAACTTTGTTTTTGGTAGGTTTTAGGTTTTCGATTGACCTTCAATAAATCTCAACACTCCTATCACCATCATTCCTTTTTTATACCTGTTTTTTTTTTCAGGCCAATCCGGTGCCGGCAACAACTGGGCCAAGGGGCACTACACCGAGGGAGCGGAGCTTGTCGACAATGTGCTCGACGTCGTCAGGAAGGAGGCGGAGAGCTGTGATTGTCTACAGGTGCTTTGTTTGTACTGTTGGAAGTTGATGTGCTCCAGGGCTTTCAAATGACCCACTCGCTGGGTGGAGGTACCGGCTCGGGGATGGGGACGTTGCTGATCTCGAAGATTCGGGAGGAGTATCCGGATCGGATTATGATGACCTTCTCCGTCGTGCCGTCACCAAAAGTAAGTTCAACTCGTTAGCTTTCGCTCTCTCGTTCCTTCTCTCTCTCTCTCTCTCTCTCTCTCTCTCTCTCTCGTGCGCTTTCTCTCACACACACTCTCTCTCTCGTGCGCTTTCTCTCACACACACTTTCTCTCTCTCTATTTCGCTTTCTGGGTGTAATCTCCTGCTTCCAGGCCCCTTTAACTAGAATTATGTACATCTACCACTTTTTCCAGGTCTCCGACACGGTCGTCGAGCCGTACAACGCGACGCTGTCGGTGCATCAGTTGGTGGAGAACACCGACGAAACCTTCTGTATCGACAACGAGGCTCTATACGACATCTGCTTCCGCACCCTGAAGCTGACCACGCCCACCTATGGCGATCTGAACCACTTGGTGTCGATGACGATGAGTGGGGTGACGACCTGTTTGCGGTTCCCTGGCCAGGTATGTGTTGTAGGGCCTTTGGTTCGACAATTCTTTGCAAAAATCTCTGATTTTAAAGATGGTTGCCGGTAGCAAAACAATCCATAATTTAATGGGTGCCGCGAAAACTATGAAATTCTGCAATTGCAGCTGAACGCCGATCTCCGAAAGCTGGCGGTGAACATGGTACCGTTCCCGCGTCTCCACTTCTTCATGCCCGGATTTGCGCCACTGACTTCTCGTGGATCTCAACAGTATCGGTAAGTAAAATTCCCGAAAGAATTTTTCATTGAACTGCTTGAACTTAATGCACAGATCCGGAAGCGTGAAAATCAACGCTGAGATTCGAAATAGCAGCGCAGTTGGTCAGGCACCGAGAGCTATAAGTTCAAGCTCATTTGAAGCTCATAGACAGCAAATTGAAGCAAAACGGGTTGGGCATCGACAGCAACAAGTTCAAGCTCGTGTTTTTAATAGACTGGGTTCCAGAGAAACATAGCGTCTTTCCGCACCAGTCGAATTTTCTTTGAAGTTGTCTAGACCTAGTGGAATAAAAGCGGTGAATTGGATGTGTTCTAGTCCCTTTAAAACCAAATAAGTGGGCTGCTTCGAGTAGACGGCCCTTCGTGAAAAAAATTTGATATCGTATACTACAGGGTGTCCCATAAAAAAGCACCCCTCCGGCATTTCGCCATATTACATCCGATCGGTCCCAAATTTGGACCAGAGGTGTATCAAACCCTAAATAACCACAATCCTGAGTTATAGCCCGCCAGCTCCGGTAATCTTCGAGATGCAACAAAAATAAACTTTATTATCCGTTTTTCATAAGGTTTTCGTCCAAATCGACCATTCGAATATTAAGTGAAAATGAAGCGGCAAGCGGTCTTTACCCTTAGAAATTTTTTCCTAATAAAAATTCATCAAATAACCGTTGATTTCAACAATTTTTGTAACCCAAAGTCACACCCGATATTAAGCGAAATTAGGGATTCGCAGCCGGAAGTCGATGCAAATCGATGCAAAGTCCAAAAAGATAGCCGAAAAACTGTTAAGAATCGCGGAAAAAATAAGATTTTGGCGATAACTTGAAAACTACTGTAGCGATCCGGCTATAACTTAGGATTGTGGTTATTTATGGTCCGATACACCCTTGTGCCAATTATGGGACCGACTGGATGCAAGGCGGCGAAATGCCGGAGGGGTGCTTTTTTTTGGGACACCGTGTATATACAGGGTGTCCCAAAAAAAAAGACACCGGCCGCGTTTCGTCATTTCGGGTCCGATCGGCCTGAAAATTTGCACAGAGGTGGAAAAGCGTATTTAAATGTTCACTGAAAACTTTCAGCCCGATCGGCCGAGCCGTTTTCGAGTTATAGCAAAAAAACTTTATTTGATTGCTTTACAATGGTATTTTTACTAATTTACATATCGAATATGAATAATTCTGCAACTTGCGAGACGATTTTGCATAATTTTTGACCGAAAATGCCATCTTCCTCGTTGCGTTGCGGCCGTGAGCTTGTGTTGGAACATTGCGAATTGACGACAAAACAATTTATTGTGGAACAATTCATAATTTGTTGAAAAACTGGTCGATGTGGCCACCATCAGCAGCAGCACAGAGTTCGACGCGCTTCAGGAACTGGATCAGCCAGCGACGCATCCTGGTCTCGCAGAGGGCATCCCAGTGTCTGCGGATGCTGGCCTTCAGCTGGTCCAAGGTGTTGCACTGGTCCTTCGTCACTCGGTCCTGCATCCATGCCCAGACCCGATAGTCCAGAGGGTTGAGTCAGGGACTGGATGGCGGATAAAGGGATTTGTCTAGGTACTCAATGTCCAATTTTCTCAACTCGGCGAGCGTAGTCTTGGAACCGTGAGCCGGCGCCCAATCCTGCTGGAAGACAAAGTCTCCATCAGGATAAAGACGAGCCATTTCAGGAACCAGATGACTATTCAACAACTCCTGATAGACCTCAGAGTTGACGTTCCCTTTGCCGTCGAAAAAATAGAGCTTGAGTTTACCTTGCCAGCTGACTGCGGCCCAAACATGCACAGACTGCATATAATTGTATTTCTGCGAAAGCCGCTTTTCCTGAGGGACGTCTTTCTTGCGGCCAGTAATGTAGATAAAATTGTTACTACGATTAACAGGGGCACGCAAGAAAAATCGTTTCTCGTCAGAAAAAACCAGTTTCGTCAGAAATTCGCCAGTCAGTTTAGGCTGAAGCCGGGTGCACGCATCTTTGCGTTTGAGTTTCTGCACTTCGGACAACGCGTGCACTGGGACCTTGCGGACAGCAATAAGCCCAAGCTCCTTTTTACCACGGCACAGGGAGGATCTACTGATGCCCAGGATTGTTGCCGCAAGCCGAATCGAAAAATGGCCACCTTTCCCGTTGACGCTTCCCGGTAGGGCCGTCGTGATTCGGGTCAGAGCGTAGGATGAGAGCACAGTGCGAGGCCGTCCGCTCCCTGTCTTCCGCTGCACTCCTCCGGTCCCCTGCGCAGGATTAAGCAGACATCTTTTTCGTACCTTGATCTTCCTGAGCACCGAATTGACCTGATCTAAAGTCAGACGGATGGGTGGTCGGCAGTCGGCGAAGGCCTTGACGATTTGGCGCCCACTCATGTCACGGCGTGTCCGATAGTGACAGATCAACACCTTGAAGCCTCGGTCATACGGACCATTGCTCGCGTTTGGCACAAGCTCACGGCCGCAACGCAACGAGGAAGATGGCATTTTTCGGTCAAAAATTATGCAAAATCGTCTCGCAAGTTGCAGAATTATTCATATTCGATATGTAAATTAGTAAAAATACCATTGTAAAGCAATCAAATAAAGTTTTTTTGCTATAACTCGAAAACGGCTCGGCCGATCGGGCTGAAAGTTTCAGTGAACATTTTAAATACGCTTTTCCACCTCTGTGCAAATTTTCAGGCCGATCGGACCCGAAATGACGAAACGCGGCCGGTGTCTTTTTTTTTGGGACACCCTGTATATAAAAATAGTGTCTGTGTGTATGTGTGTGTGCCACTTTGCATGCAACTTCCGTCACCATGTCCGGAGGATATCTCGATAAGGGATGAAATTTAAGGTACGTATGATAAGTCATTAGGTGCGTAATGGCTTTGGGATGACTGCACGATTATCAGATTTCACAAAAGCAACTGTTTTAAACATTAATTTGCAGTTTTTCTAAAAATTTCGGGCGCCCTCTTTGTTAGGAAACAATAAGCATCCGCCGGAAGTTGCAGTAGCTTATATAAAGGGATGGAGGGAGTGTTTTTCATTTTTTTGTCTTCGCAATTTGGGCACAATTATGCAAAATGAATAACAGCTTGGGATGAGACGAGGCCAGGGTTGAAAAGTCGCGTAGCGGCTTTTCAACCCTGGTCTTATTTAAAACTACATCCTTTGTTTTTCAGAGCCCTGACCGTACCCGAGTTGACGCAGCAAATGTTCGACGCCAAAAACATGATGGCGGCTTGTGACCCACGGCATGGAAGATATCTGACTGTCGCTGCGATGTTCCGTGGCCGAATGAGCATGAAAGTAAGCTTTTGTGCAGTTGTAGTTGTCTAGTCCCAGTGAATTTTCGGGACGTTTCTCACGCTTTCCAGAGAGAGAGAGAAAGAGAGAGAGAGAGAGAGAGAGAGAGAGAGAGAGAGAAAGAGAGAGAGATTCCCAGCTTCTCACGATTCTCCTTTAAAATCTAAAAAAAAACCGTCAAAACAGTCTCGTTTTAGGAAGTAGACGAGCAAATGCTGAACGTCCAGAACAAGAATAGCTCGTACTTTGTGGAGTGGATCCCGAATAACGTCAAAACTGCCGTAAGAACAATTAGATGACGTAATGGATTTGCTTAGGTCTGTGATATTCCACCACGTGGTGTCAAGATGGCTGCGACTTTCGTTGGAAATTCGACGGCTATTCAGGAGCTGTTCAAGCGCATCTCCGAGCAGTTCACTGGTTGGTTTTGGGAGCGAAAGGTTCGCTAAAGCGGACAAATCTCTAAGTGCTGACCTAGAAATTTAGCAGATTTTTCCGTCCATTTGAGAAGGTCGGTAAGGCAAGACCATCGAGTTTTTTCGTCTATGTAGTTGTGTTGACTTGCCCTTTAAAACAACAAAAAAAGCCAGATCCAAGCTAAATTCTGTTAAATCAAACTGTTCAGCAATGTTCCGGCGAAAGGCCTTCCTTCACTGGTATACCGGCGAGGGCATGGACGAGATGGAGTTCACCGAGGCCGAGTCGAACATGAACGATCTCGTGTCCGAGTATCAGCAGTATCAGGTAAACATTAAAGTAGTTTTAAGGTTACGGCATTACCTTGTTTCCTGTTTTCACAGTAAGTTTCCCGAATTTAGGACGCTACCGCCGACGACGAGGGCGAATTCGAGGCGCACCACGACCAGGAGGAGGAGTAGAGGCGATGCGTTTTCACGTTAGCTATCCCTCACCCTCACTCTCTCTCATCTCTCTCATCTCTCTCTCTCTCTCTCTCTCTCATCTCTCTCTCTCTTTCGCTCTCTTTCTTTCGTCTTAGTCGGTTTATTGTGTTTTACCCTAGTCCCGTGATCTCCTAACGCAGTTTGTAACGTTTTGCGATTTGCCAGTCCTGTCAAAAGTTTCTTTGATCTCGATAAAGATTTGATAGAAAGTTCGGCGCATTGAAAGTGGCTGAGTATTATGTACAAAATCTCTATGCAAATTTAAGCTATAAATCCAAGAAAAGGCTCCAGAAAACCAGTTATGTTTTAAGTCAAGGCAATATCAAATTTTTTGCTGTTTTATGATGTGGGGCAGGGAAATTCAAGCCGTCGCTGGGTGACCTCTAAAGACCAACATTCTGTTTGCACAATCCAATTTCGGAGAAAAACGTCGGGAAACGTCAAAAAGGAAAATGTTGAGTACGTTTTTTGTGTTTCCTGGAATGGCACAATTTGGCTCAAAATTTCACTAACTGTCACTAACACGCATTAATGGAAGCGCAAAAGTTTTAGTTTGGGTTTTTTTCTGGTTTTGAGATTACTACCTGGGCCCTTTAGTACTTTTCAACCAGCCTGTCTAAATTTTGCAACCTTCTCACTTCCGGTTGTCCGAAAAAACTAGGGCAACACCACGATTGGTGTTGTCGCTACTCGGCTGATCCCCCAGCCTCACGCTTTGACCGTTGACTGGATTCGCGTGGAATAAACGAAAATGGGAGGGGCAGCGAAACGATGAAAGAGGATTCACTCGGAACTCTGACTGGCTTGACTACCATCACTGGAGGGTGAGCCTGACTTTGACCCAGATCCAGGTTTCTCTCTCTGTTTCTCTCTCTCTCTCTATCTCTCTCTCTCTCTCCCTCTCTCCCTCTCTCACCTGCATGCTAACACGGACGTTTAAATTACGAGGCGCTCCAACTGACGCATCCTTCCCCAGTAGGTCATCATGTTGCAACAAATGCAGGGAGAACGTTACGGAATAGCTGCACGGTTGGGTTGTTTCAGTGTATTTCGGTATTTTTCATGTAGCATTCGGATTTTTCTGGACTAAAATGTTACGGAATATTACCTGAATCACCTGGTTTTTTAAAATCGCAAAATCCTGAGCTGTTGGAGGTCATTAACGAAACAAAAAGCCCAATTTAGTAATTTCTCCTGATAGGCCGACATAGAGTTGGCGATAATTATAAAAACTAGGTATGATTTTGCTTAGATAATAGAACTATCCGTTACGCGCTCCTCGTTAACCGTTAACCCAGTTTTTTATCTTCTTTTTCTGTCTTCTCTTCTTTCCTTCCTGCTCTATCTTCTCTTGCTCACTTCCGCTAACTGGAGGGCTTGCGAACTGCCAGAATCATATAGCGTTGCTAGATATTTAGATAAAGTTAACTTTTGGCTACCTGCCAAAGGTTTATCTTGTAGCTCGAGTTTTTGTAGTGATGCTGCTCAAATGCTGAGCCTTGCCCCATTTCGATTGCGTAATCGGTTCGGTCAGCCAGTTTTTCACCCCTCAGATGACTTTTTCACTCATTCCTCAAATACCCAATCACTCGATAGGGCCAGCCCAAGTCCAAACCGTCCAAAACTAGGGCCAAAAACTACGGCCACCACCCCCACTTTGAATCGGCGGGGCTCGATTCGAGTTTTTGGCCAACACTGACCAATTCTCTTTTTCTGTCGCTCAGTTTGTGTCTCTCCTTCTCACTCCCTCCTTCTTACTCTCTCTCTCTTTCTCTCTCTCTCTCTCTCTCACTCTCGCGCTTTCTGCTACTCTCTAATAGCCACGGCGAGGGCATGTCGAGGTAAATAGAAGAGGTGGAAGAGGTGGATGAGGCCCTCTCACTGAGTTTCCTTCATAACAAATAGACCCTCTATCCGGGTAAAATACTCTCCTTTTCTTTTCCATCATCTTCTTCCCCCTTTTTCGAATCTCGCCCATTTCCCTTCATCACCATCAGATGATTACCCACCGGATGATCATCACCGGATTTCGCCACCTCCGCTTGTTCTGGATTTGATCTGGATTGACCCCTACTACCGTAAAATCTGTGATTTTTGGGTTTTTACGTCTTTTACCATTTTCATAAATTTTAAGACGCTTATTTACAAATAATTAGAATTTTGATACATCGGTGCTACAGCATCTTTGTTAAATCCTTTGTTAAATCCTTATTGGCATTTGTAGTGTTGGCCACTCGCCAAGTGTCCAAATCCGATTATAAAGCCTGCCTTCCGGGCTCCTTTAGAGCCACTTTCGGTCTGTCGAGTTCACTAAAAAAAGCTGATTTAGACACCGGCACACGACTCAAAAGTACCTCGACTCATCATTGAACAGTACTCTGTGCCCATTTTCAACTCGAAAAAGACCGCGTTGCTTCATTTTTATGGGTCGTTTTGGGAGGGCTTTTAGCCCTGCTGGCATAAAGTCTCGTCATTGCATCAAAATTTCACGTACCCAAGCACCGAAGCTTTGAAGCCCCGTTCTCGAATTTAGTTAATGAAATCGTCCAGAAAATTTATTAGCAATTCTGACTTTATTGAAAATTATGTGTTTGAATATCGATTCATATTTCTTTGATATTTTGCACAAATGGATAACCTGAAGGTCCGCCTTCCTAGCTCTCGCACATCCGCAAGAACTGGCTGCGCCCTAAAATTAAGGTTTACTGGGCGGGACAGTCGGAAAGCTTGCCATGGTCCGGTCCTAATTCGCATTTACCTCCTCGTCGCTAAAAGGACCGACTTTGGATTAGCTTCTGTTAGAACCAGCCTTTATGGCAGCTTCGTTATGATTTCCTCATTGAATATCGTGCTTCACTAGAACGCCCCAAAGCGTAGGTCGCAGGCTAGCCGAGACCCTGATCTGATCGGCTTGAAGTTGTTGTTTTGTGCTCTGGAACTCTGCCAACGTGTTGAGTAGATATTTTTCTACCATCTGTTGGGAAAGTGGTGGCGAACCCAAGCGTTTTGCTCACCTCAGATCGGAGAGAGTGTCGGTTGCGAAGAGGGCGCTGGCGTCAGAGCAAAAAATGCCATGTTTCGTTAATGTTTGGAAAGGCCAGATTGCTTGTTAGCTTTTTGCTGATCCTTATATCCCAAACTGTGATCCGGATCCTGCACTTCTTGTCAAAACTTTTCTTTTACGCTAGTAAGCTCATTTTTCACGATTAGTTGGGATGTGGCCGGTCCCCTTGAAACTGTTAGCCAAAGTGACCGTCCAGGCAAGGTTTTGTGCTGTCACTGCACCTTTAAATTTTATCAAGAGGCATGATAATGCTTTCCAAGTTTTAAAAGATGTTCCTGTCCTCCTAACACTGCATTTTCATGGCCACGGTCTTTTTGTCAAGTTTTCCTGTTTTCCATTGTGCCATTGTCCCCTTAAAACCCTTTGCTTCAGGATGCGGGTCCTCGGAGGGCTGCTCCTCCTCGGGGCCTCGGTCTCCTCCTCCCCTCCAGATGATCGATACTATCAAAAAGATCATCGTCCGCCACGGCAACCCCCTTCATCCCCTCGCCCATCAAACCAGGACCCGCTGTTGCCCGATTATTTGCAGACTCTCAAGGTACGTGCCATACACTTCTTTCAATTCCCTCTTGTATACACCACTGGACATCTCGAATCGTCATCTCTCTGCTTTGATTTTTGTGTCGAGATTGTGTCGGGCAGCTGGCTGGGCTTGGATCCCTCTCTCTCTCTCTCTCTCTCTCTCTCTCTCTCTCTCTCTCTCTCTCTCTCTATCTCTCTCTCTGTTTCCCTCTCTCTCTCTCGCTCTCTCTCCCTCCCTCTCACTCACCATCTCTATCTTTCTCACTTTCTCTTCCTTTCCCTGCCTCTCTCGCTTTCACTCACGTTTTGCCTCTCTCACTCTCTCTCCCTCTCTCTCTCTCGCTCACTCTCTCACTCTCTCACTCACTCTTGCTTCACTCTCTCTCTCACTCGCTCTCTATCTCGCTCTCCTCAAAACTAGCATCTCCTACCTCCTAGGATTACCCGAAGGGTCATCCTCCACCTCGAAGACCTAACGATAGCCCTCCGAAAGGCAAAAAATGGAATGATAACCCACGTCAACGATACGGTGGCCCTTCCTATAATGTAAGCCACTGAGAAGCGCACTTTTTAGTGTCAAACCAGCCGTTTTTGGGGGTCAGGGTTACGGTAGTTTTGCTGCAAAATAATCTTGGACCTCAGGGCTGGCAATAATTTCTAAAAATTCACCACAACTCAAATGACTGGAATTTCATTCTTTTTGCGAAAACCAAAGGCCCTTTTTTGAAAGACCCTTTTTAGCCTTAGAGACATTATTTCATTTATGGTTATTTAAGCATTTCGAGAACTTTCCATAATCGATTGCTCAGCGAGATCGGGCTCCATTTCCCAATACGGGGCTCGTGAACCCCCTGCCGGAACCCCCAAAAATACCGAAAGCCGATTATATTTTACGAGGACGGACTACTACCGCCAACATCAGAAAACACGATACTACCTCACACGCCCACTGCTTCACCCCCCCCGCCCCCCAAAAAACAAAATCCCCAAAACGGCTGGTTTCCACATTAGCGTAGCTCTGCACAGTTTCATGCGATTTTTGGGTTAATTTTTGGCTTTTGCACTCAATTTTTCCAATTACTGTAGCACCTTTTTTGTGAGTATTCTTTTTCCATCGTTTGCCCTGTCGCGTTTTGCATAATTATCACTCGGCATTTTGAGTTTTAAGATGGCTTTGAAAGATTCTTTCAAGGGGCAAGCTAGCAGCGCCCATTTGAGACCCTATATGGAAAATTACTTTTCTTTTTTCGCTTATTTGATACCTATAAAGGTTCAACAAATTAATTTTGAATTTCATGTTTCTAGTTTTGCTTTTTCCCTAAAAACGCTAAGCTTTAACGCTTTTTTATAATGCCATATCTACACAATTTTCGAACACTTTCAAAGCGTATTCTTTTGACCCATTCCTCTGATAACTTCCTCGTTTTGGAAAGCCGGGGGGTTCATTTCTGGCTCCTGGAGGCGAGCTGGCAGAGAATACTAGAGAGACAGCGGACAAAGTAGACAACTTTCTCGCCTCGAAAAAGAACTTTTGAATGGCACAGTGCCTCTCGATACCTCTAAAACTGAGAACTTTGACCCTTAACTTTCAAAATCCACCCTCACTACCTATAAACAGCCATTACTCATTGCTTACTTTACCTGTTTCTACATACCATCTGTTCTACCGGAGACCAAAAGCCCCTACACACGACAACAAAAGGCACGTAGCGCCGCTCTTTAGTTTCTCTCAAAGTTTGTGATTGGGTTGATTTTGTAAGATTTGTCGAGCGAATTAAAGGGAATGCCCCCTCGGAAATAGGCCCCATTTTAGCCGATCTGTTTGCCCGTGACCCTCCCCGTAAGACCTTTGAATTGATTCGTCTCGAAACGACGCAAAACGATTCATTCTTTCTTACTGGTAGGAGATATGCAGAGAGAGAGGGAAAGAGAGAGAGAGAGAGAGATAGACAGAGAAAAAAGGAGACAGAGAGACAAACCGACAAACAAACACCGACTCTCCAGTCTCTAAAGCATCAGTTGCCATCGGCGCGTTATGTTGAAAACCTACTATCAGCGCGCCGAACTCTGGTAGTTTTAAAGTGACTGGGACAGTCAAGTAAATTAGACCATACTTTGCTATAGGCTTTAAGCGACATAATTATATATACCCGACCTCGCGTTAATAGGGCACCATCTTCTCTCTGCCTCTGATCTGTCGATCTGCCTCTGGTGCTCTCTCTCTCTCTCTCTCTCTCTCTCTCTCTCTCTCTCTGTCTCGCTCCCTCGCTTTAACCTCCTCACTCTTTCCACAACTCGCTCTCATGCAATCTCTTTCTTTTTTGCTTTTTTCAAAGTGAGAAGAATTTAATTTGACGATCCTAACAAAAAACTATGCGGATTTTAAAACGTTATTTCCATCTTTTGATTTTCCGATAATTTAAGTAATTTTTATGCGACGAAAAGGTTCAGGCACGCCTTCCTGCTGACCAGTAGATGAAAAACTAACGCCCAAAAGCACACGATGCCACCTAATGGCCCATCCTTTAGAGTGGGCTGGGAACCGAAAAGGCCCGAATATTTGCTTTTTCCTTTGCCGAGGCTTTCTCCCCGATTTCTCCGAAATGACGTTGACTTTTAAAAGTTATGTTTTTCTGGACCTCTATGTAATTATCCGATTTACTTACATTGCCTAGTTAATTTGTGATTTCCCGTCAAATGCTTATTAACTAAAAATCAAACCTATGATCAATTATTATTTTGGCTGCTATTGAACGATACTCTTGTGAGCCGCGACAAAACTCTCCCAAACCCGTTTCCAATTTTACGCGTGTTACGCTGCCCCGCTACGTGCGAACAAGCGGGTTGTAGCGTAAAAGAGCACACCGTTGACTCAGATGATAAGCTGGAAAACGGGTTGAGTCAAACTTTTTAAATAGTACTGTTGAGGTTGAGTTTTTTGCTGTATCAGTTACCTTAAATTATAAAGCCAGACAAAAATTTATCTGCAAGGCCAAGCAGTTGAACTTGTTGCAAACCCCGCGCCCCTGCCCTTTGCGCTCTTTCAAAGTTTTTCTTGCGAAATAACCCCTCGAACGTGAAAGTTAGATAAAGGGGATCAGTCAAATTCAGCCGGTAAATTTGTAGCACTTTAAGAAGTTTTGTAAAACTGGTTTGACAATTAAAAACGTAAGTTGCAGTTCAAAAAATTAAGCGTAAGCTACGTTACAATATGCTATTTGCGCACTATCATCTCCACTTTTTTTGTTAATCACTCACCGATTCTATTTTGAGCTAAATCACCAGATTTTCATATTTTTTGCAGGAGTTGATCAACGGCATGTCCCCAATACCGGATTCGGATTCCAGCGCGGCGGAGTCTACTTTAAATCCGCCGGATCAAAATTTGTTGAATAAGGTAATTTTTGGTCGTTTCCTATTAACTTTTTGTGATTTGTAGATTGCTAATATCTCGAAAGCACGGCGGCAAAATAGTTAAAAAAACAAGCTTTTATATAGTGGATAATTTACAAAAAAACTAAAATTCATACATAATGTCGGAATAAAATAATACTATAATAATAACGTTGTAATAAACACGTTTTCAAGAGTTAATTAATGAAAAACGTGTAACCTGATCCGGCACAAATATAAAAACCACGCCGAGATCAGCGGTATTGACACTGTCGGGTCATAAGGGGGAGGTAGCGGGAAAGGGGAGGGTTGGAAACGCTAGGAGAAGTTCTCCTAGCCCCGGAACACAACCACTCTCCACCAGTACTCAGTACATTTGGCCAGTCTGCAAAACAGCCATTAATCTTTATATAGCACTAGAATGTTGTCCCGGAAATTGTAATTATTTTTAATTCCATTCGAAGGCCTCGGCTCGCGCGCATTTTTTCGCCCCCTTTATAGAAACTGGTACATCTTTTACTGTATTTAAAACGCACCTTGACTACATATCCTATTCCCCGTATTTCAGGTCGGAAACTTGACACAAAACGTCTACAACCAAGCCACCGGCTTGGCCAACCAATTTGGGTATACCAACGACAATCGCAACAACTACAACTACGGGTAAGTTCCGCTTTTCGTTAGGGCTTCCGCTTCGTAGGCGTAGCTTAAATTTATTCGTAACCATGCAGGATCTCTAAAGTGAACAAAAAACCCTCGGGGTAGTAACTCTAAGCTACGTACGATACGCTCCAATTTACGCGTCCAATTTACGCGCTTTTTAGTCGGTTGGAAGCATTGTTCTCGCTGTCTTTTAAGCTTCAATAGTTTTCCAGTCAAAACGCGTACGGTCCGATGTCACCGCCTACCACACGACAGCCTTATCAGTATGACCCGAATTACTACAAGAGGGATGATGAGGAATATACCACGGTCGATTGGTACAAGGACCATGAAAAACCGAAGGCAAATAGTGGGTTCTACGAGCTCGCTCACTTTCTCTCTCTCCCCATCTCTCTCTATCTCTCTATCTCTCTCTCTCTCTCTCTCTCTTTCTCTCTGTCTCTTTCACTCTCTCTCTCTAACTCCCACTCTCTTTCTTTCTCACTCTCTTTCTCTCTCTCTCGCTCGGCTAAACCAAATTTGAAACCTTTCAGACGGCCTCTGGATTGGTCTCGGTATCGCGATGGGTGTAATGGGATTGATACTATTATGTTTGATCGGTTTTGGATGCTTTTGGTACGTCCGGAAGAAGAAACGCAGTCTCAGGTTAGTTTCCATGATTGGAAAGGTATCACCGAAGAATTTTTCTATTTGTTTATAGAATGTGTTAAATTGGTAAATTTTGCCTTCCAGAAAAGGTTTAAATATACCATTTTTGCTATCCGTAATGCTCTACCGGGCTATTACACGAGAAAACCTTAAGAACACCTCAGAACTTTCTTTAATGAATGTTTTTAGCACAATTCTACCATTCCCGATGGCAAAAGGCGAGAATGACTACCGTCACTGGCAACAACATCACAGCCCTACGTCTTCAAGGTGACTTGTTTCTTGATTCACGAAGACCTACGAAAAGTTGTAGCTTATCCGGAACTCTTGACCCATGGGAAATGCCGAGAAGCAACCTCATCATTGACTATGAAAACAAACTGGGAAGTGGAGCGTTTTGTAATGTCTTTAAAGGTAGGTTGATGCCGGAATTACGAAACGATACCTCTGATTCTAGGCAGAATAGTCGGGGAGGCTCCAGTCGTAACCCTTCAACCCTCTCTACGCACTAATGGTTTCCGGGACTGTGAAGTAGCTGTAAAAATGCTGCCCTCATTTGCCGATGATATTGCGAGGAGTGATTTTATGCAGGTAAGGGTTCAAAATAAGCGTTAGATTTTTAGGGTATCTGTTTTTATACATTAGGATTAAATTAAGTTTTAACTTTGAAGGTTTTTAAATTAAATCCCGGGTGCCTAAAAGCATAGATGTTCTTACTTCCTACGCGACTTTACAAGTTACGTGTCGCGTCATTTGGTGCTCTGTGTAATTTTCAATACATAATAGAAATAATACGTGGATTCTTGTACTGTTATTTTTATTTAAAGGCGAACTGATCGTTGGTTTCTTTAGGAAATCAACTTCATGAAATCCCTCCGCTACCACCAGCACTTGGTGTCGATGCTTGGCTTCGTGTCTGACCGAAGATCCCCAATGTTGGTCGTCGAATTTTGCGGTCACGGAGATCTGCTCCATTACATCCGTGAAAGGAAGGAGCTTATCAGAAGTGTAAGTATTCTACACAGTATTACGAGCCTTATTTGAAAGGTATCGTGCCAGTGTCAAAGACACTAGAAAACTTTTAGAACTTGTTTTTAGGGTGTCGACAACGCCAGCGGCGTCACGATCAAGGAGATCGTATCATTCGCCTGGCAAATCGCTCAGGGCCTCGAATATCTGAACAGTGTCGGCTGCATCCATCGAGATGTAGCGGCCAGGAATGTGCTCGTGGCCGATAATCATGTTTGCAAGGTTGGTTTAATAATACTATTACAAAGTATTTTATAAAATTTCATATTTGCGGGTTGGAACTTTTCAGCATCACTTATTTTGCGAATTATTACGCTATGATTATAGATCGGCGACTTTGGACTTTGTCGACTGACGGATTCCTTGCTCTACACAGCTAGAGGAGGAAGACTACCGTTAAAATGGATGGCCCCGGAAAGCCTATCAACGTTTGAATACTCCTTCAAGAGCGATGTGTAAGTTTTTATTCTCTCTCTCTCTCTCTCTCTCTCTCTCTCTCGCTCCCCTCTCTCTCTCACCCCTTATCTAAGCCAACGTATACTTGTGGCTTTCAGATGGTCCTACGGCATCTTACTGTGGGAGTTATTCTCCCTTGGTGAAGTCCCGTTCGCCGGGGTCCAAACCACCGACCTGCTCCTCTACATCCGTGCCGGAAATCGTCCGGATCGGCCGGCGTTTTGTACCGATGAAGTGTAAGTTAGTATAGCCTTTTTGGGCCCTTAAAACTCTACAGAAGGAAAACCTCGTTGTAGTTTATAGCTTTTAAACTCGTTGATAGTCTGTATAAAAAATAGAATTACATAGCGTAATCGATTGAACTACGAAATCGCAGCCAGCCGTGATACCTACTGCTAGGCACTAATCAATTTTGGATCAAAATGGCGAATTGCCTAGCGTAACTGGTCAATGGAATGTCTTGATGGGATATTTTTATTAATATTTTTCAAAAATTTTTAGCGGCTTTGATGAACTTCTATGCCTTCCCTTTCTAGATGGACAATTTTGATGGCTTGCTGGCACCTCGAAGCCGACAAGCGCCCAACGTTCACAGATTTGGGCCGAAAATTCGGAGGCATTTTGGAGATTGCCACCGAGAACTATGGCTACTTGATACCGACAGCCCGTATAAGCACGGACTCCCATCCGCAGGAGGAGAACTCCGAGATTAGCAATGTTTAAGCCAACCTTGTTGTGTTACACTTTTTAAAGGGACCAGTAGGTCTCAGGATTTACCATGGATTTCGACTAGGTCTCGACAACCTCAAATTACCTAAAATGACGTAAAAATTCATTTGTAGTCGCTTAAAAACGAGTCTGTCGAGACCTAGGGAAGCGAGGGGTAGATGCTATCGTTTTCCGGACCCTTTAAAAGTGCTAGGAAGGGCTGGAATCGTCTCCCGGTGTTGACTAGGTCTAGACAGCTCCAGTTAGATCGCTAAATTACGTTCAGCCACGCTGGATCTAAGAAATAGGCCGGTAAGGTACGTCATTGGGAGCCTCGCGTAATTGCTGAAACCTAGTTTACCAAGGGTAGATTATGGCCCTTCTTAGCCGCTTTAACCCTCCATCTGACATCGAAAATGTGATACTCCATTTAAAGGCTCAGGCAAGGATTGACTTTACGAACCTATGGCCAGCGAAATCCATAGTCATGCCTTGTCTGCTCCTTTAACCTTGATTTTCGTGATCTTAATTTATTGAAAAAATGCTTAAGCTTAATTTTAACGTGATGATCAGCCTTTTCAATGATTTTTGTACTTTATAGTTTGCACTCCTCAATGGCCTTGTACTTACTCAATTTCTACGATTTCGAAATTGCTCCCTATCTCAAAAAAAATACGGGTATTAGTGTGTAGTAAACAGCTCACGTTTTGGGTCAATTTCTCTATGTATTTTTCTTTCCTGAAAAATTTAATTTGTACCGGATTTTAACAGGTCCCCATTGCGAAAATTTCCATGTTCTCTGTGTGTACTTCCCCGTAATAAATAGTTTACTAAATTTGGTGTATGCTGCTGGGGGCGCGAAAAACGGGGATGAGCAACCAGCCACAGCTTGTGTCTGCCCATTCCAAACATTCCACAAGCTTCCGAGGGGGATTAATCCAGGACTAGAGGAATTGACACCCACCAGCCCTAAGAAAATATACACACTTTAGGAAATGCGGTCCAGCTACGGTAGACTGCTCAAGACAACGACAAGATGTTGCATTTCGAAATTACAAAAAAAGTACTTGACGTCACTGTACTACGGTTCGAGCAAAAAAAAGAGCAGATAAACGTCAGAATTTAAAAAAGTCCGTTTTTGACAGCGGTTTGTGAAACCGTGTAGCAAGCATCCATATCCAGCAGCACACGCATTTAGCATGTCTCAGATCTGTCAAACGATCAGTAGATCTGTCGGATTGGCCATAGAGCAGGAAAATGTTGGTATTGGATTGATGCGGTAACGTATACCGCGATTTTTTCGGGCCTATCGAAAGCAGTGCAACAATAGAGCGGAGGTCAGTAAGTAGATCTCTATTCCACCCTCTTACACCCTCTCTCTCACTCTCTTTCACTCTCTCTTTCTCTCTCTCCTCTAGCTCTCTCCCCAAGCAGCAACAGCTACTATTTAAAAAATTCTATAAAATCATGGTGCAAACTGTGTTAGAACCTTACCTTAAATTTTTTTACCAATATCCGTTTCCAAAAACCCTGCTGTTGCGTTCAAGCTATTGGAAGTATTAATTAACTAAGTTTGCGTTTTACGGTATCCTCAGGCCAAGCTGCAGTCCATAAACAATAACATGTAGACGCTGACGGAACAAACTTCTTCTAAACATGGTTCCCGCATTTCGCGGCGTTGGAATTTAGGCCTTATGGGCACTAGGTTTTTTACCCTTTAGGCTTGAACAGCTATCGTACCACTGCCGGCAAAGCCACTTTTTTACGGAATCTCAATCCAAAAAAATAAAATCAGACAATAGCGGAATTCGGGGAAGCTATTTATTCGCAGAAGCTAAAGGACACAGCTGAAAAACGTCTCCAACAAACGTCATGAACCCCGTTGAAAAACGTATTGTTGCGACGGGTCCCTTGAAGCTTTATTTTCGAAAATCACGAGACAAACAGAATTGCGTTGCTCCCGGAATTTGTCAATTTTGTTTCTGTAGCCAACCAGAAAGCGTGTCTTTTCACCCCCACAGAAAAACATTTGACTATTTTGTGGTTTTGGGGGTGGGTCGATTTCCCCACTGGTTGAGTGAGTCAAAAAAGGTGAAAGCGCTGACGCGCTCTTGTATAGTCAAAATAAAAACGCGCCAGCATTTATGCTCCGATTCGGGGGGTTGAAGCAGTGTATTCTCACAATTCCCCCACAAACCCTGAAAATGCGCTTCTTGGCTGTTTCTTTGTTGGTGGCTATTGTTAGGGCAGAGGTTGCGGGTAAGGAGGAATTTTTCTACCGCTACCGTATGCCAAGATATGTAGTTACCATATTTTTTTGACTAATATAACCGAATTTATTCTATTTTTCTAATTTTATTAGAGGGAGGGTTGCATTTTCTGTGATTTTGAGCGTTATCAACAATTTTTGGAAATTAAAACTACGGGGTATCCCAAAAAATTCCCGACGTAGCGGGCTGCAGACGTGTCAGATTTTGACGAATCAGGTATCCATCAAAAGCTTTCAAAGACCTATGTTCTCTCGAACCTTTCTTTCGAAATACCGAAATTTTTTTGCCTGATTTTTGACAGAAATTTGGTCCATTGCGCAAAAACGATTTGTTGGAAAAATCGCGGAATTTCGAAAATAAGAAGGAACGTATCTGCTCAGCTCGTTGAGGGCTTTCGATAGATACCTAAATCGTAAAAAGAGGACGTATCTGCAAGCCACTGGGTAGGGGAATTTTTTGGGACACCCTTTGTGTCGACTGACAACTCTCTAGACCACATCTGTTCGCTCACCACTCCGAAACAATGCAAGGATGGCAAGGCCGCCGACGTCGACAAGGACGCCATCTATTTCTCAGAGTTGAATATTGCTAACACCCGTCACGTCTACGGTAAGTTCCGCTCGAAAGGAAACCAAAAACCATCCCTGAAAAATTACAGCCTGCGCCGAGGGCCAGTACTTTTGCGGCTCTGTCACCAACGTCGACACGACCGCATACAAGCCCGGTTGTTACAGAGCCAAGCTGCTGAAGCGCGACGCGGGCCCGTGCAGCTGCACCGTCTTTGCTGATGATGGTTTGCTCATTCACACTTGTCGATAGGTAAAATTTTAGGGAAAACGATAACGGAAGGTAAAACAGCGGCCACCGAATACGTCACGGCCAACCATATAGAAGGAGGTATGTACCTATAAATAATTTTTTCCTCGATTGGTGACCGCGACAGCAGCCGCTAAACAATCATATTTATACATTTTTCTGTTGTATACGAATTATAAATCATCACATTGCTTTAGTGAACCCCGGCCTGGTGAAGGTCTTCAACTACTACACGAAGGCGTCTGAGGCAAGCTTTGACACAGCTTCCAAACCAATCCCGCCATTTTCAGAACAATAAGGGCTGCTCGGCTCTCGATTTCAAGCGAACCGCTGCAATGCCGGCGGATGTAGCTTTTGGCTTACAGTTGCTTAGTTTCCTATGTTCTGACCTGGTCATCTTTTCTATTTTTCAGCTCGCCGGGATCCTGGAGGAGAAGACAAACAGCGGTTCGCCGCTGTTCTTCACGTTCGCCGGAATTGGCGCCATGGTGCTGGCCCGAGTCTTCTAAATCGAATTGTATTTCTTTCACCCATGTATTTGACTGTGCCTATTTTGCTTTATGAACCCTGCCAGAATACAACTAATCTTCTTATACGTCGAGCTTTGCAACCGCAAAAAAAAACAGAAAAAGATTAAAATTCACAAAACAGCCAAAAATCCAGTCGTATCTTTCAAAAAGTAATTTGTAAGATGTGCTGTACTGTATGGATGTCTTAAAACAGCTGTATCGGTCCGAAAAACAAGTGAAACTTTTCAAATAGGCTTTTCGCTGAATCGTGTACCGCCTCCGAAGGTCAGTGGTCCGTCAAAGTCAAGAATATTTGCTGGTTTTCAGGTTAACAAGGGGTGACTGGCGAGCGACTTCTTGCGGACGCCCGATATGTCTGCCGAGGTATTAGTTAATGCACAATAATCTGAATTTTTTGATACACAGAGTACTTCTTTAAATTACCATTTTTTTCAGCTGGTCCGCATCGTCGAGGGGAGCAGCAACAGCGGCTCATCCCAACTTCCAACTGAGGACAGTCCTTCCAACTTCTCGCAGTCGGCGCCCTGGTTTTGGCCAGTGCCTTCTAAAGCAAATGTTTTTTGATTGCTATATTTTACCCTTTTTATTTTGCTTTGTTGAAATTGCTCAAATAAATTTCATTTTTGGATGCGCAAAGACGGAGCAAAAAAGCCTAAAAGCTATAAAAAACATCAAGCAGCCACCAGGATTTAAAAAATAGCCAAAAGGACGATAAAAAAAATGTTGTGGAAAAACAGAAATTTGTGGTAAAGTTAATGGTTCAATTAGTTGAGTCAAGGAGAAATTCGCGGGTCCTTCAGCAGCCTAAACAAAATTCTCTGGCATTTATACCGCTTGCTTGACGGAGAGGAGGACCACAATTTCAGTTTCATTTTCAAATCGCAAATGCGTTTTGTCGCCGTCTCCTTCCTGGTAGCAATCGCTGTGGCGGAAGACGTTCGTAAGTGATTTCTGGCAAAATAGTGAATACGGCGCTGGATAGCGTACGAATTAGTCGAAAACACCAAATGTCCGAATGGCATCGATACGTGCGACCTCCGCATGGCCCCTAAACACGAAAACAGGCTGTCATTAGTAATGGCGCGTATCTGGTGCCAGTTAGTAGTCGTTTTTAGCGTTTTTGACTCGAAAGGCAGAACAAAAAAACGGCGTCATCAACCCTCAAAAACGCCTTTAGAGCAAAAACCAGATAAGGTCTGTTCCATCTCCGAGCCAAAGAAATGTGTGATTGGCTGGAAGGAGGATATGGCCCCCGAACGCATCTTTTTCACGGAACGGCACGCTGGCGACCGTTGGATATATGGTATGGCGACTTTTTTTAAGGTCCAGACCTTGCATGGCTACGAATTTTTTTGATTTTCAAATCGGCCGTCATACCTCATAAACCACCTTTGGGTTCTGAACTGTTAGCGGGGGGAGGTGTATTTTAGCAGGGGGGGGCGGAACGGAACCACTTTTTGTTCTCCACTATTTTTGTTGATCACATATTATTATAGTGTTTTTAGTTGCCAAGAAGTCATAAAAAAAATTTTTTTTAATGTTGAAGATTCGAATTTTTGACCGTTTTGCCGACATTTTGAACAAAAGGCAAAAATTTCGAAAATTTAGATAATTTTACTATATTGTTTTTATATCTAAGAACTATGTAAAATGCTATAAAAATGGTTTTGTTTTTTGCTATCGGGAGGCAGAGAAACACAGCGAAATTTGCCCCCCCCCGCTAAGAGCCCAGAACCCCACCTTTACCCCTCTACAGCATGCCCGGCGGGCCAGATCTTTTTGCGATGACTTCATGAGTTGGGGTCATCCGGTGGCCGGCGGGTGCTTCCATGAAGAATTGATCGGGCGTCGACCAAACGCGGGTGACTGCGGATGCATCCTTTACATGGAAAGGGGTTTGTCAGCCATCGATATATGTTATACTCCCCCAACCTTCAGCAAAGGCCACAGAGGTCTTACTAGGGAAGTCCAAGATACCCGCAACACGAATCGGGCTGAAAATTTGCACAGTTATGGAACCGAACATGCTGATCATCGCCTCATTTTCCGAATTTGCTACAGAGCTTAAATAATTAAGATATTAAACTTTTAAAATGCGCCAAAAACCCGCCACCCTGACCCTGGCTCACTAGAGCGAGTGGGGTTCAAGAGGCCTTTGGGAAGCCCCCTTTCCAGAGCTTCGGTAGTCAACTGGTAAGCGCCTCGCTTCCCAGGTGAAGGGTCCGGGTTCGGACCCGGTCCGCGCATCTTTCTTTTGCTTTTTGCTAATTTTGCGCCGCACATGTGGCGCGTGTCCAGATTGTGTTTTTTGCTACACGCAGATGAACCGGTTGCTGCCGCCGACTTACGGAATAGCGGTTTTCAACAATTTTTGTACTTGTGTTTTCTATGAACTTTTTTCATAAATTTATGATTTCGTTGAATTTCATTTCTAGGATGTACGTAAATGCAGCTGCGTAATGTAGCAAAAAACACGATCTGGACACGCGCCACATGTGCGGCGCAAAATTAGCAAAAAGCAAAAGAAAGATGCGCGGACCGGGTCCGAACCCGGACCCTTCACCTGGGAAGCGAGGCGCTTACCAGTTGACTACCGAAGCTCTGGAAAGGGGGCTTCCCAAAGGCCTCTTGAACCCCACTCGCTCTAGTGAGCCAGGGTCAGGGTGGCGGGTTTTTGGCGCATTTTAAAAGTTTAATATCTTAATTATTTAAGCTCTGTAGCAAATTCGGAAAATGAGGCGATGATCAGCATGTTCGGTTCCATAACTGTGCAAATTTTCAGCCCGATTCGTGTTGCGGGTATCTTGGACTTCCCTAGTTAAACTTGCGCGACGGCGCCTATGAACGCTATCGAACTGAAACAAGTAGGTCATGATTGAATCGGAGAATCGGTTCAGACTCCAGTAAAATTAGTATAAGGTATATTTATTTTTTTCAGCTAATCGCACCTTGTCGAAAGCCGCACATCGCTACGGGGTGAGTCGAAACGGGCTGTTGGCCAAAGGGCCAAGGCCACCTAAAAAAACTCGTTTTGTAGCGTTGGACATGCACGGCTGTCGATTTCACGCGTCCGGCTGACATGCCCGAGGAGGTAGAGCGCGATATTCAATTAAATAAACATTCTATTTGACCTTTTGAATTAATTGCAGCTTTCCAGCTCGCCCGGGTCCTCAATGGGGACAGCGGCATCGGCTCGTTTGTCATCCTGCAGCTTTTCGCCGTCGTCGCCATCTTGTTGGCCCGGGGTCTTTGAAAAGACGAAAAAAATTGATTGTTAAACTCTAATTGCGCCTATTTTTCTTCCCTATGAAGCCCGAATAAAATTCTTATTACATTGCTACTACCATAAAAAGAGCAAATTTGAAGCCCAGAGTTTGCTCATACAGGAAAAGGGCTGTTTTTTCAGTCCATCCGGTTTAAAATTGCATACAAAATTCTGTCTGCTCCATTCGGAAAAATTCGGTTAACTGAAATTTGCCATTACTGCCCCCCTTTAAACTAAACTTCTTTTTGGCGCCAAATTCCATGGAATGCAAAAAAAAAACATTTTCGGCGACCTTTTCCAACAATATTTATGCCACTTTTCCGATTAGCTGCTTCAAAAATGTTTAGATTTGGTAGGGGCCGTCAAAAGATACAAGTGCATTTATGCTAAAGTGCCGCGGACCAAATTCACATTGTCTTGACGCCCAAAAATGAACGTTTTTGCGATTACGGTCTTCTTGCCGCTAATTGCTCTTGCTCAAGGTCAGATGGAAGGTATGATATACAGCGATTGTCGAAAACAAGTAATTTCAGAGCGAAACTGCTCCATCAGCGAGCCGTGGCGTTGTGATAAGATCGATACGTTTGGCCTTGCTAAAGAGCGCTTCTTCTTTCGGGTGGTCACCATCCTAGGCTTCAACCACGATGCTTACAGTACGTTTATGAAGATAAATGGAGAATAACGAATTTTAGAAATGGATTTGAGGGATAAAGAGTGAGAGAGAGAAGAGAAAAGGGTGTAAGAGAGAGTGAGCGAGAGAGAGAGAGAGAAGTGCGCGAGAATGAGAGAGAGGGGAGTGAGAGTAAGAGAGTGAGAGAGAAGGCGAGAGAGTGAGATAGAGTGAGAGAGTGAGAGTAGGAAGAGAGAGAGATAGAGAGAGAGAGCGCTAGAGAGGAATTAAAAAAATGATGTAGTGTGCAAATCCGGAGCCGTTTTCTGCCAATCTTTCGCCGATCTAAAGGATCAGCCAAAAGCCGGTTGCTACGAGGACACGCAAATCGGTCGGCCAACCGGATGTGAATGCCGTGTTTTCACAAATTCGAATGGGTTTCAAGTTCGTTTCGATTGGGACCGATCTTTTTAGACAAAACCTCGCAGCTCTGGGGAGTGCGACTCCAGAATTTCGATTTTGACGAGATGCTCCTTGAGGAAGGTAGTGGAACTTTAAAATAATATCTAGAAGTCCATTTCAGTCCACCCGAATCTGATCAAACTCCTGAATTGGCACCTCAACAGCTACCCACCGATTGTAAGCGCCTACGTAAAATTTCTTCTTCAAAATTAAATCCAAAATTTCATACAATTTGAGTATCCCCTTTGCAAGCGCTTCGCCATGTTCCTTCGCGAAGATGAGCTGTCATTCGAGGAGGTAGAGAATATTTAAAACTAATTCTTTGACTTAAACTTTATCGAGATTTGCTATTTAGCGTATCGCCCGGATCGACGCGGAACACCAGAAAAATTCGACGACAACGATCGATCATGTTTCTTAATTTTTTTTACTCGATTTGAATAAAATGTCCTACTTCGAAATTTATCTCACATTGCAGCTAAATGTTTTTAAAGGGACGGACGTTGTAGGTCGACAACCTGAAGAATCCAAGCTCCCAAAATATTTTTCTAACGTTTCTAGATTCTGCAGGCTTCATTCTAGCTTCAAATTCCAGGGAAAGACGCTCCGGAAAAACAAATCAAACATTTTTCGCGTCCCGAACCCTGCCATTTTAGAAAATATTTGTTCCACTTTTCCCATTAGTCGCTTAAAGAATGTTTCGATTCGGCTGAATGCGTCAAAATATGGACAAAGAATTTATACGCAAGCTATCAAGCGGGCTATTGGCTTCTCTACTAGCTAAAAGATGTTTGGCTTCGTAACCCTTGCCCTGCTGCCTTTGGTGGTCGTTGCTAGAGGTATCGAAAAGGGCTAAAGTCTAGGAACCACCCCCAGCCGACTTTACAACTTTTCTACCTTCCCTATTTTTATTTTACGCTACTTTTTTTGATTTAAATGCAGTGTATTCTTGCTAATTAGCCTACTGCAAACGTTTTGGTATACTTTAGAGCTCGCTAGCACAAAGGGGGGCCGAGATACAAAAGTTCGTGCAGGCTAAGGGGGGGGGGGGGTTGCCTAGACTCTTACCATCACAAAGTAATAAAAAGTATTTGTCATACCTATTCGCCATTCAAAATAACTGTAGCAAGAATCCAAAATTTCAGAGCGAAACTGCTCGATCAGCGAGCCGTGGCGTTGCGACAGAATCGACACTGCCGGTATCCCACTACGGGAGCGCTTCTTTTTTCGTGAAATTCTCGCCTTTGATAATGATGACATCTACAGTAAGTATTGTGTTCTTAATGGTACAATAAAAAAGCCAACTATCACTAGATAGGTTGGCGTCGGATGACTGCGTTGTGTAAGGATACTGAAATAATGCATTTAGCTGACAAAATACTATAATAATAATTTTACAGTGTGCAATCCGGGCAGCATCTTCTGCCGGTCGTTCAGTGACGTGAAGGAGCCACCAAAAGTCGGATGCTATCTGGATACTCAAATTGGCCGCACATCCCGCTGCGAATGCAAGGTTTTCAACAAATTGAGTAGGTAGATTTTTATTATATCAAATCTTACAGCTACATCGCAATTTTTCCGTTGCTAATTTTTAGACAAAACCGCCCAACTCTGGGGCCTACGACTTCAAAATTTCGATTTTGACGAGGCTCTGCTTGAGGAAGGTGAAAAGCTTTCATTTTCGCTATCACTTTCTCTCTCTCTCACTCTCTCTCTCTCGCTCTCTCACTCTCTCTCTCTATTTCTCTCGCTCTTTTTCGCTCTCCCTCACGCACTCTCTCTCTTTCATTCTCAGTCTCTCCCTCTGTTTTAGACACTGTAACTACTGTACCTTTTAGTGCACCCAAACCTGATCACGCTCCTGAATTGGCATCTTCGCTGCGCAGAAAAGCGTGACAAAGAAATCGGTGAGATCCTGCGGAAGTCTCTCTGCTGGCGGTTCGCAATGTTTTTCCGCGATGATGATATCCCGTTTGAGCAGGTGAAGATAATTTGAATATAATTTCTAATACTTTTAGCGTATTGCTCTGATTCATGCGGAAAATGCCATGAATTCGTCAAACATCTCGACCTCGCCCGGCCCGACCTCTTAATTTTTCAATTTGTCTATTTGAATAAAAACCCTTGACTTGACAACATGCATTAACTGTTAAAACTACCGAAGTTAATACATCCCTCAATAATCTGGCTTTTTTCTAGATCCAGTATAGCTTCGAATGCTTGCGAACGACGCTTGAAAGGCAAAAGCAGCGTTTTTTGGTGAAAAACCCTGCCCTTTTTCAAAAATAGTTGTCCCCGTTTTCCAATTAGCTGAATCAGCCATGTTTCGCTTCCGTCAACGGCCGTCAAAATATGGAAAGTGCGAGCATTTATACTGCGGTTTTAGAGCTTCAAATCGTCCACCACGAAAAAGGATGAAGTGCTTGCTGATCAAGGTCATCTTGTCACTCGGCGTGTTTGCCGGCGTCTACAGCGAGATCTATCGTAGGTTTTTGGCTTATGTGGATATTACTAGGTACGGATTCTCTCAGGGTTTGGCCTCACCTGGCGATAAGCAACGCGCGGGTTTCTGACGTTTTATTAGGAGCCGTGCCGCCGTGTGGTGTGAGAGCATTTCTTTGCATGCGTTGCATGTTGCGGGCCCGGAAAAAACCCTGGATCCATCGCCAAAAAAAATACATTTTCGATCTTACAAGCCCCTTTAAAACGGGACTCGACTAACAAGGAAACGTTTTTTAGAGACAATCTGGTTTCCGTACGGGACCAAGCCTATCTTCTGCAGAATTTTGCGCTGTCTTCGAGCGTGTTTTCCAGATCTGAGAAATGATACGATTTAAAAAGTTATAGAGATTTTAAGTTTTTCGCAAGCTCGGACAAGCGCAAAATTCTTGAAGAAGGCTTGGTCAGGTACAGAAACTCGATTGTCACTAGAAAATGTCTCCTTGTAAGCTTAACTTTAGGACGCCACTGCTTAATCAGCCAACCCGAAGAATGCACAAAAGTCGACCCGAATATCGTCCCACCGAACAATCGCTTCTTTTTTACCGAAATCATCGACGGCCTGACCCATTTCCACATGTACAGTCAGTTTTTTTGGAATTTTTGTGAATACGCTGTATGATCCACCATTATAATTTTTCAGTGTGCCGGCCTGATGAGGTGTTCTGTCTGACATTTGCCGATGTGAAGGAGCAACCGGCGCCCGGCTGCTATTCCGGAAACCAGATCGATAGGCAATCCGAATGTGAATGCCGTGTTTTCACGAATTCTAGTAACATTTTTAAGGGGTTTACAAATTTTAATTTGGTTTAGACAAAACCTCTCAACTCTGGGGCGCACGGCTGGCGAGTTTTGATTTTCAGGAAGTACTGCTTGAAAAAGGTGGGTGATGTCGATGGTTGCAGGCTAGAGGGACTAGGAAGCGATAGAATCGACCCCTACCGGCTACCAGGTCTCGACAAACACTTATTGGAGCACAAATTCTTTTCATTTGATTTATAACTTCCTAACCAACCGTAACGTAGCGATACCAAGCGCAATTTGCAAGCATCTTTGGAAATCGAGCGTACCTGTCAAGACCCAATGGATGGAAGGAGTCGATTCATGGGCTTCCTGCTCCCTTTAATGAAAAATCTATACCCATCTATTGATTTTTTAATTTTCAGTGCACTCCGATCTCTTGAAGGTCTATAACTGGTACGAGAAAACAGAGGGCCACTCGGGTGTAAGCTTCAAACCTGCACTTTCTGAAATTTTCTGGATGTTTAGCCCCCATGCCGGCAATTCTCATACCAGCAGCGCCCGGATGATCACAATTTTCAACAGGTAATGTTGGAATGGAGCAACTAATGGCACAATTTTAAGCTCCTCCGTCGCATCGATGCTGAAAATGCGCAGAATCCGACCACGGCCGCAACAGCATCACCTTAAATCCGGTTTAATGGAATAAACTTGTTAAATACACAAACTCTAATAAGCGGGCACGGAGACTTTCAAGTTACATCGCCGTTTTGAGCAGGACCCAGCCTATCTTATGCAGAATTTTGCGCTGATTTCGAATCTGTTTTCGAAACTTACTTAACCGCAATTGGCTGAAATTAGAAGCCGATATATAGGGAAAAAGATTGGTCCAAAGCAAACCCTTAAATTTTGTCCAAACCAAAACCATAGTCTTGTTAGATGTGTTGTCCAGAGAGCACACGTCCTCCCTTGAAAATATTTGTCCCGATACCTCGGCTTCGAGGTCGGTGCTAAAAGCTCCACACAGCCTAGCCGTCAAAATATATCCCACCTGTATTTATATGAAAAAAATGGACAAGAATTCGCTTGCCAAGTCGCCAAAGCATGTTGGTTTTTGTCGCTTGGCTTTTGCTGGTAATAACGGTCCCAGCGTTTCAAGGTGGGTTTAGATTTGTCAAGCTTCTACGGAGTTTGTGCTATTTTTTATTTTCCATTCCAGCACGGCACTGCTCGATCAGTGAACCGACCCGGTGCGTCAAAGACAAGTACGATGACACCGCTATCCATCCGAATGAGCGCTTCTTCTTCACCGACACCGACTTCCACACCTTGCGTATTTACTGTGAGTTTACACACGCGCTTTCAGTATGATATAAAGCGTTTTAAATATCAAAAACCCTTTTGAGTGTGCCAGCCCTCCGAAGTGTTTTGCCTGACATTTGCTGACGTGGCGAAGCAGCCAGGGCCTGGGTGCTATCTCGGAAATCAGATCAACCGCACCGAGTCGAAATGCGAATGCCGCGTGTTTACGGACTCTAGTAAGTAAACAGGCTTGGGGTTAGGCTTGCGTTTTGGTCTACTTAGGCTTGGGCTCTGCCTTAAACTTTTGAGACGCCCTAGCGAATTCTGAAAAAAATTAGGTTTTCAAAAACAGCTGAACGATTTTGGAAAAAAATATCTGACGCGTAAGCCTGTGCCTAAGCCTAAAAGCCTAAGTCTAAGCCTAAACTTAGGAGGCTAGACTTCATTTTCAGCCAAGTCAGCAAAGCTCTCGGGCCAGCAGTTGCAGGACTTCAATTTCCAGCAAGTGAAAACTGAGGCTGGTAAGTTAATGGTACACGAATATATCCATCTCGAAGGCAACGATATACGTATTTATCTTTAGTGCATCCGGACTTGATGAAGGTCTTCAACTACTACTTAACAAGGGACTCGATGCAATGGGTGAGATTTGAATTCAACGTTTAGCCCAAGTTTTCATAGGCTTGTCAGCGGAATCGGACTTACTTGCGAATGGTGGGCGATCGATTTGTACCGTATGCAGAGACCGATAAGGTAGTTGAACAAGATTTTTCCTATTAATATATCTCTCGTAGATGTCGGGCCTTATCGATATGGAGTATAAGAAGAATTCAACCAGCACTACGGCTACGTTTTAAGGAATAATTTTACGTTGTGCGGACCGCTGCAATTTGATAAATGAAAAGACACTTGAATGTTTTGTAGCCAGATCAGCTACAAAATCAATGGATGAACGAGCAAAGAATCCTTAGGAAACGATTCATTACGTGTAAAAATCTGACTTCTACAGTCTTGCAGCCGTCCAAGCCGATAAAAACTACAAAACTGTTTTTAAGACTTTCTAATTTTTTACGCAATGCAAGCTAGCAGATATTTTTTTGGAATCGGCTAAAAAGCCTTGAGTTTCATCCCTTTGAATGTCATTTTTACTCAGATGCTCGGCGTTGAAAATTAGCCAGGACTAGCAATTTCAGCTAGTTCGGTAGGGCAAGCTAGCCGAGATTCTTGATAATGAACCTAAAATGTCGAGTTTTTCTAAATTAACTTACTTACCCCTTAAATTGATGTTTTGCTCTCGTCCTCGCTCACCCTCACCTCCAGGCCCCGCATTTTATTACCTCGCCGCCCGAGGTAGTTATTCTCGGGGGCGCGAGCCTCTTTTCCCCCTCATCCTCCCTATTCAAATAGCCTCGTATGCAAATCGGGCAACCTCAAAGCCCCGTTCCCACCTTCCGAACAACTTTTTTTCGTCTCTTGAGCCTTCATAGCCGTAAGGTGCTAATTGGGCGTGAGGACATGGCCACCGCAGTGTGAATCCCCCTTTAGCTAATCGAATAATAAAACCAGCATCATAATAGGCGATAGAAAAGAGAGAGCGAGAGAGAGAGAGAGAGAGAGAGAGAGAGAGAGAGAGAGAGAGAGAGAGAGAGGGAGAGAGATGTGGAAAAACTTGGCACCTGTTGTTACCCGGGTGGCGGGCCAGTTTGTCGGGATTTCCTTTGAAAAATGCCGACATGATTGCCCTTGATAGAATTTGCCTAAAATGCCCCGGAGGCATTTTAGGCGGTAAATCGTGAGTATTGGGGGTGGATAGGTTACATGGATATTTATGGATATTTATGGTTACATGGATATCTCCTTGATCTTAATGCGAAGGATTACGGTAGTAAATTCCGAAAACTTCAGGAATCTCATGATTGAGTCAATATTAGCTTTAGGTATAATTTACCAAAAACCTCACCTGCGGCTTCCTAACATTTTTGTAAAACGACAGTTAAATAAATAATAACGGCGTAAACAAATATTATGCATAAATCGTCGATAATTATCTATAATAGTCTGACAAACATTTAAAAATGCTATATTACTTTATTTCATTTGTAAATGAATGCAAATTAAAAAAGTATTGCCAGGTAAATTTTTAAGCGTATTTTATGCTTACGATCAAGAGAAAAGCAAAATAATTGTATAAATAAAAACAATTTTAGATCCCGCTGAACCGATCAAAAATTCACAAACTGACCATGGAATTTTAAGATTTCGTCTTCGACGCTGTTTTTCCATTTTTTTTGACGATGAGGCTAAAACAATTTTAATCAATTCGGTGTTAAAACTTATCAAATATCTATATAGAATCTCCCTCTCAACTTTTCACGCACCTGAAAGGGGTCCTATTGTGGTTTGGCGGCTTCTCAGAGCGGCCTTTAGGTATAGAAGGTGATCAATTATTGTAATGTGTCCGGGCCAAGCGCGAGAGAGAGAGAGAGAGAGAGGGAGAGAAAGAGGGGGAGGGAGCGATATGATCTCCTCTGCGGCTTCTGCCTGTCAATCATATCCGGCTGGTTGATGGGTGTGCGGTATGGCAGTTGAGCAATAATGTAACTGAACGTAGCACATTGATTGAATATTACGTATTGCTCTGTA